TTTCACGAATAAATACATAATTTTAATAAAAAATTATCGCGGAACTTTTTCGAAGATATATATTTAAATATTTTTACAAGCTATAACCCTGAGTTAGAAGCCATAAGCGTCGCGATGACAATTTGTTACGGATAATATATTTAAGAGCTTTTCCTAGGCGTTTCAGGGCTATGTGCAAGCTAGAATAACTGGAAGCGGCTGGTTAAGGCCGTATGAAGTCGTCTTAGGATGAAGATGTCTTAAGATTTAGATTCTAGATAAAATTTCCTGAGTACTGTTTCCATTATGAAACTATTGATATTTCAATTGATTGAAATTTCGGGAGTTTTTCCCTCAGATTTTACGGATTTTGAAGCTGTAAGACAGGGTTTCGTGCCAACGGAAGATTGAAAAAAAAAAAAAAAATCTTTATGAAACTATTCTAAGGGCCGTAAGGACTTCCTAAGAAATCTCTTTTCGCCAGTCACTCGCGAAATATATCAGCAATATCAATTGGGTATCAGATTATATCATTTTTAACGTCATTTATCCGGAATTTACGCGTTAAATGCTATATTGGATCCGAATTTTGGGTTTGTCATTAATAAGATTGCGGCAGTAAGTATGGCAGGTAGTAATAAGTCGTCGAAAATAATAACGGTAGTAATAATAATAGTAGTAATAATAATATCAATAGTAATATTAATAATAATATTAATAATAATATTCGTCATAGTGACAAATATAAGAAGAATAATAATTATTATAATAATAATAATAGTAATAATCAAAATTTAAATTAAAATTCTAGTAATAACAATAATAATCGTAGTAATAATAATACAAATTTAAAAATATAGAAATAATAATAATAAGAATATTCAATATTAAGAGTAATAACAATAATTATCATCGTAATATTTTCGCGAAAATATATTTAAATATTCAATTATCATTTTTTCTAAATTATTTTCATATAAATTATGCCATAAAGAATCTTAACTCAATTATCATATCAAGAATATCTATATCATTATCATTACCTAAGAATAGATATCCATTCATAGAAAAAAAATTATCAATAATAAATTTAGAAAGATATTATCATTCTTCGAAAATAGAATATTGAATATCAATTAATTTTCTCTTTGAATTCCTATATCAATAGATTTGAATTGAATCGAACTCATTTTTTTATTATCAAGAGATTTTTCATATATTTTATTTCAATCCGATATCATATTTATTTTTATATTCCATCTTCTTTGGGTATATCCCAAAGAATCGATATCATCTGTATTATTGTAAATGGATCATTCCATCTCTCATTGAATCAAACCAGTACGAGTCCATATTTACCCAAGGGAAATGTAAGTCCATCACTTATTCTGGCTTAGTTTGAAATCGATTCGCGCCAGTGCCACGTAAGTTTTCTGATTTACTTGCTTTTCCACGCATAGACACACAGACCTTGCATTTGCAAGGGCTTCTCTGTGACACAAACTCAGAATGCCTTTGCCGATTTGGCTGTTGTGGTCTCTCATCCTTTCACCTGAGCAATACGGTTTAGGGCTTGGGGTTTAGGGTTTTTAGCACACTGGCTCGCACAAGGAATCAAGATTCAAGGCCCGGGCTTTGATCAATGTGAACTTGCCACACTTTGGAGATGCAACCTTTCCTGTATAGGTGCGTCCATCTGGCGAGACCATGCCAGTGAATGGAATGGACGTATATCTGCAAGGGTTCTCACTTAACCATCTTCCAGGTTGGAAGTGCAAGCTTCTTGTTTTGTGATCGTATGTTCCTGTGGCTTCAAAGGTTCCGGCGCAGTGCTGGCTTTCTTTTGTGTCTGGGGTGAATTGTATAGATGCCGTTGGCCATGCAGTAGCCTGAATTTGAAGCCATGTCTTTCCCTGAGGACAGTTGTACCATCCGCGGTACAGGAGAGGAAAGCTGAATGGTAATTTGTCCTGCGCAGGGAGGCCGCATCACGAAACGAAGCAAGGCTACACAAATGAAGACATCGAATAAACAACTGCAAGCTGTTGCCAGGCCTTCCCAGCCTTGCCGGTCGTTGAAGTTGTCGCTCTCGTGGTGGACGTGGTGGTAGTTGTCGTGGTAGTGGTGGTAGTGGCGGTGGTGGTCGTAGTGGTAGTTGTGGACGTGGTAGTTGTCGTGGTGGTGGTGGTGGTGGTGGTGGTCGTGGTGGTGGTGGTAGTGGTGGTGGTGGTGATAGTGGTGGTGATAGTGGTGGTGGTGGTGGTGGTGGTGGTGGTAGTGGTGGTGGTGGTGATAGTGGTGGTGATAGTGGTGGTGATAGTGGTGGTGGTGGTGGTGGTAGTAGTAGTAGTAGTAGCAGTAGTAGCAGTAGTAGTAGTAGTAGTTGTTGTTGTGGTAGTAGCAGCAACAGCAGTAGTAGTAGTAGTAGTAGTAGTAGTGGTAGTAGCAGGAGTAGCAGAAGCAGCAGCAGCAGCAGTAGCAGTCGTCGCAGAAGTAGTACTGTGTAGAAGGAGCAGCAGCAGCAGCAGCAGCAGCAGCAACAGCAGCAGCAGCAGTAGCAGAAGTAGAAGAAGTAGTAGAACGTGTTGTTGATACTGTTGTTGGAACAGTCACAAGAGAACATCTTCGTCGTCGTCGTCATGCAAACAGCAGCTGGAAATGCAGTCGTGTACACTGCCGTGCTGCAGGCCTGCTATATCGCCCTGACATAACTCTCTCCCTCGCTCTTGACCATTTCTCGTCTTGCTTGAGTGATGAGAACGAACACTTGCAGTCCGAGGGTGCGGCAAGGGTGGACCTGCTTGCAGATGCACGAATGACACTGCAAGAACTGCGCAGGTCGCCATATCACGACCACGAACATAGTAATTAGTTTCAATAGCACGAGCAGCAAGTGGCAGAGGCATTAAGAGCAACAATCGTCGTCATAATAACTTAAAACGAGATGCCTCGGCTGCTTCCGCATGTTGACAGCACAGCCAAGTTATACAAAGCATGATTGCGCAAGTGTTGTTTTTCCAGTGTTACATCTGCCTGACCGCAGGTCTGCAGAGTCCAACTTTGTACAGCTGCAGCGGCTGCAAAGTGGTCCGAGACTGCGTCGCTGCGTTCACTCGCGGAAGGCCACTCAGCTGCGGGGCAGCAAGGCTCCTGCAAGGACTCAAGAAACCCCCTCCCCATCCCAGCACAGGCAGCCACCTTGAAACCTTCACCGTCCGCTGCTTCACCAGCTGCCGCTCCGATCGCCGCTAACCCTCAGGTCAGTCGCTGCCGTTCTGGCTTTAGGTACGTATCTGCATGATCCGCTTTGTGCCGCTTCACAGAGGCCCGACTGCTCTACATTCTCAAGGCGAAATTTCCTTGATGGGGTCGCTAAACCAAGGAGGGCCAGATGGTTCGTGGCGGTTGTCGCTTACTCAGCTTTGCAGGCCCACGGATGCTCGAGCTTTCTGCCCGTGCCTGTCACGAAATGTAGATGACCACGAGCAAAGCTCCCAGGAAGACTGCCCAAACCTCACATGGCAGCTGTTGACAATGACTCTCGATGACAACGGATGATTTCGAGACAAGCATCGCCAAGGATGTACTTGCCGTATCACCAACACTCCTGTGTAAAGGGGCCTTATGTCAGCCTTAGGTTAGGACCAACAATCTTCCCACAGACTTCATCTTCGCTCCTCCATGCAGGTGGCATCTGGGCCTGTATCGTTTGTCAAATACCTGAGCTGTAAAGGCTGGCAATGGACAGATGCAGACAAATCGACATGCGAGTCTGCACCACTAAATTTACAAGAATCAAATGAACTGCCAACCGCTAGACTCGCTCTTCCTAGTCGCGGCTTGTGCGACGAGGTTTGATAATGGCTCAGGCACTGCTTTACTAATCGTATTGTGTCGCTCTAATGCTCCTGTGAGTGCTTGGGCTGCAAGTCGTGAAACTGGTGACACTGGTGGCGGCAGTAGTAGTAGCTTAGTAGCAGCGGCGACGGCAGTGGGCGACGCGGTTGGTGAGAGATACGAGGGGGCACCATCACCATCACTGTTCCCCCCCCCAGATACAATGTCGTTTGCCTAACGTCTCGCTAACATACGAGGATAGCAGAGAAAGACAGTGCGTGTGTGTGTGTGTGTGTGTGGTCCCGAGTGAAAGCCCTACCGTGGAAGCATTCCTTCTGGCAGATAGGTTTTCTTTGGAACTGCGGCTCAAAGGCAGAACATCAGTATGGGAAGAGCCCTGAACATGCTCAATGGACCCTGGCATTGAGGTGCCGACTTCCAGCGGCAGCAGCAGCAGCTGGCCTCGCCATTGTCTTCTCGCAACCTTCGTGTGCATGGATGTTCAACCCTCCGGCGGGCGTGGCGCCATCTCCACGTTAGGACCATGCGGGTTGCAGCTCTCCGAGACGTAACCTATCTCCAAAACACCGCTAAGACCAGACGGGCCACGGCTGCTGCAAACTCGCCAACACAGGCGCCATCGCAGGAAAACACAACTCCCACGCAAATGCTGCGAGGCTTGATTCAGCAACCAATTCAATGCGTTTGTCAGGTGTGCACGGCAAGCCCGGGTTAGCATCAGAGAGCATGTTTTCTCACCTTGCCCTGCGCGGTATGCATAGACATAAGATGGATATCCGTCCTCGCAAGCACATTAGTGTCGCGAAGTCATCCACGCAACGCGAGTATAATTTAGCACCGCGAGACCGATGCTGCGCCCTCTGGGACGTGCACGGCCTCACTGGAAAACCTTGCCTTAGCTGCTCGAGTGGCAAGTTTCTCGTGCTTCGCACGAGAAACCCCAAATTCCAGCCGCGGCCTTGTCTATAACACGCGACCGCGCCAAGGACAGCCACAAAGCAATCTAACTGGGATTCTACGCAAGCAGTCTCGCTGCTACTTCGGGCAACGAAAAAGACCGCCTTGTTCCGCAAAACAGGCTCTAGATGCAGCTGCAGGACAGCGCAAAGTTGGTCATGTCGACTTGGTCTGTTGACACTTTGCCATCATGCAGCCGTATACTGCTAGAGAAATGCCAAGCTCAGCATCGCAATGACTCCTCACAAACACGATGTTCCCTCTGTCAGCTGACAGTACGGAGCCACATTTGGTCACCAAGACTGGCTTTGGAGCAAACCACCGTGAAATTCATGTGATCCAACAAAAAACTCTCGCCAGGGCACCTGCTAGCAAGTTGGCGAAGTTCATCGAACATGTCGCACCACTGGCCACAACCCGCACGACGTCGTCATTATCACCATCAGTCCTGTCTGCCTTCGCCGATCACAAGCCAGGTGCATGTCAAGGATTGCAGGCTTTGTCAATGTCAGAGCAACCTGTGTGCGTGCGTGTGCATGTGTGCGCACGGCTGCTTTGTGTTGCAAGCATAACAATATGTAGATACTGATGCAACTAGATACAGATGGATAGATAGATAGATTTTCATAGATAGATAGATAGACAGACAGACAGGCAGGCAGACAGACAGATTGATTGATACATTTGCAGTGGTCTTCGGCAACAGTATGCATAGCTCTTCCTCAAGACCACAAATAAAAACAACTGTAGCCGTTTGAACCAAGCAGCTTGTCATCACCATCATGACCACCAACATCATGATGATGGTACGCATGGTAGCACTTCGATAAGGGTAGAGTGACATCGAATGCTTTCTAAATGTCAGCAGCATCATCATCGCCTTCATCATCGTCGCTGTCATGGTTGTCGTTACCATCATAGCCGGCTTCGTCATCAGCACTTGCCTTCGTAATATTTTGCTGTCTGAGTTGCTCCAGCCGTGATTTCCATGCCCGGAGGAAGGAGCACCTTCGAAGGAGCCCGTGCTGCCAGCTTCGTTGTTTAGAGTTTCGGGCCTCGGGCGCTACAGGTTTCTGGTTCGCTGTGTGGAGGGCCGAATACGTGGGGATGAAGACTTGCTTGCTGGGCAGCTGCTGGCACGTCCCCAACCAAAACTGCCAGGCGAAGAGGCCATGCCTTGTTGACAAAATGCACAATTCCATTCCTTGACAGGATATCAGACAAAGACTCCGACAAGCTGTCGCTTTGCGGGAGCATCATAAACACTTGACCCACACAGCGTCGAGCACAAAGCCTCGTGAAGCAGGAACTAAAGGATATAGAAACATGCAAGGCAGAGGCTTTGCTCACAAGATGGACTTCGGTCGTTCTCTCGCGCATCTTTGAGTGCAGGTGTCCCGTTCGCGAATAGCCGCGTGCCAGGATCGCATGGGACTAGCTTAAGCCACCCAGCACACCACAATGTGACCATGCAACAGTCGGAAAATGCGCTTCAAGTTTCTGTAGTCGCAACTCTGTTGCTGTGAACCAAGTTGAGTGGCTCACACTGGGCAGATATTGAAGTGCAGTTGGCCAAGGCCGTGAATGCCATGCAATCAACATATGAGCTGGAGCTCAGTCATGAGTGTGCAAGCACCGTTGCAGGGTGCATTCCATGTCTAAAGACAACCCAAAACTGGAACCCGTCGCGAATTCGAACATTGCAGGGGCTTATGCGGCTGATGTCGAATATGCACTGCCGCAAACGACAGCTCGCGTCGGAGCCTGGAGACTTGGGGCGGACCGTGTGCTAAGACACTCCGCCTGCTGGGTCCTATAGTGCATCTAAAGTGTGTGACGGTTGTAGATCTGGCGAAGGTCTTCACTCTGCACATGCATGTCCAGAAACAGAAGTTTAGGCATCGCCTCCGCTGACGGGAAGTCCAAAACCCACGAGTTATTGAAAAAACTTGTGATAGGGGACTGACACACATTGAAGCCAGAAGTCGTTGCCAAGGCATCCTCTGTGGACACTTGGACATCCGTGTTCAAGGTGACAGGAGGCTGGAACCTTCAGCGCATCTTTGAAACAACAGCTACTGGCAGCTATCCCTGAAGCTTGCATCCAAGATCTGACGAAAATGAAAACCCACAGAAATCGGCAGAAACGTCACCAACGCTTATGTCTCGCTTCATGCACCACCCTTTGTGCTTCAGTCACCTCTGGTAAGCCACGCCCTGCCAGCCCAGTTCCGTCCAGGGCGTGACCGAGATCATGCCGCCCTGTCATAGCAGTGCAGAGCTGAACTTCCAGAAAATGCCCTGTGGCAGTTTTCAGTTTATCAGAGGGAGCTGATATGAGAAAACTCAAGGCAGAGGAGGAGAACTTCTTCGACGTGCCAGTCCTCGATTGTCTGGATGTCTCTTCCTCGGTCAGCAAGACTTAGCCAGCTGCGGCAGTGAAGCCTTCTGCATACACAGATTGCAGCGCACGTTCCCCCGAGGTCCAGACCATACCTTAGCAAAGTGCTGTCCGCCCTGCCGCTGACAACCTCGAGCCAGGCGTGGCTTGGCTTAAGAACTCGAGAAATCCGGTAAGGTCTGGCCAGGACACACCGGCCGTGTCGAACGGATCTACATGCTTGCAGTGCATGTGCAGCCAAGCAGCGTGATATCTCAGAACCCGTTGCAGCAAGTCTCTGTTCTCAGATTGCCGTAGGGCCTTGCGAGCACCCCCGACTGCTTCGCCCGTGAGACATGTCGATCCCTGCAGCAGCCTGCCTCTAGCGTCGCCCTGTCGAGAGCTGCGAAAGCAGAATCTGTTGGAGCGAACACGGTGTACGGACCTCCAAGAAGCAGAACTGTAGAAATCTACATCATGCGCTGCCCAACTGCAGCCTTCAGCAGTGAAGTCACCCCGCAGCCCTGCAAGCGCCACCAGCGCGTTGAAGGTAGACAGCGATGCAGTGCTGTCTGCCAACTGCCTGGGTTGTGACGAGAATTCTTTTCGGAGCTGAAAGACACCCACTGCGTGCAAGAAAGCTGCACGACGTCCTTGTCCGGGAAGCGGAACCCGGGCCTGTCTGGGACATGGTCAAGGCTCCGTGGCCGGAAGCATCTAGCAATCCAAGCACAAGATCAAACAGATGTGAGAAACACGTGAAAATTCTGAAATGTTCAGCGCCAGAAGGCGGGAGAAGAACTCGGTTGATGATGTGCATGACCCCATTGGTGGCCTCAGTTGAGATGTCTCACCACTCCGGTAAGGCTTTCTCGAGCGTGAAAGCGCTGTAACTTTAAGTTCCCCTTCGTCTGAAACTGTGCTCGCTTCATCCTGTAAGCTTGGAAAAAACCTATGAGTGTCTGGCAGGGATGTCTACAGTCTGGACCGTGGCGGTGTCATCCACCGTCAGCGGACTCACGGAGCCTTGGATGGCAGCATGGTGATGGAGGGCACCGAACAACCGTAGTGTCAAGATAAAAGGTCGTATGGATCGGAACCCTGCCCGCTGCTCTTGTGAACCACGAGCATCCGGTTCCAGGAAGCCGTCATCCATGCTTTGAAACCCAAGCTCTTGCAAGGCTCTGCGAACTTCTACCAAGCAGCTGATCTTGAGCAGGCCTTGCTCCAGCGTCTGGACAGCAGTGTTTGCCGTGAAGTCCGCCCGCAAGAAGCGTTCTGAACAGACCAGGACTCCAACGTGCATCAGACATTGTTTGGGTGTGTAGACATGGAGACTCGGTAGGAAACGAGGTTCGCACAACATGCCACGACGACGACGACCACTGCGGCAGCAGCACTACCAGCACTGGCTCTGGCACTGGCACTAGCACTACCACCACTACCATTACACCACCACCATGGAGTTGTTGAGGCGTCGCAGGCGGAGCTGATGGGCCCCACTGCTTCTGCTGCTGCTCCTCCTCCTGCTCCGAATCTGCCTCTGCCTTCTATTTCTCATTGCCAATGCTACTGCAACGATAACGACGATAACTGCCTCCAGTTTTTCTGCGACTACAACATCGGCTTTTGTTGGTGCACTCTTGAGCCATGAGACGCGAAAGTCTTAGTCTTTAGCCTCAAAATCCACACAGCAGAGCCTTGGAGCACATGATAGCGGAGGACCTGCGCTAGCTTGTCCTGGCACGGGACTTCCAAGCAGTAAAACAAGGGTGCGGCCTCAACACTGGGAGCCTTTCGGGGAGGGGACTCTCTTGCGACTTTGAAGCATTTCAGCCATTATTCACTCGAGTTGACAGGCAGCTGCGTTGCACTAGTCGCCAACTGCCAGTATGAGCACAACGCAAAGACTAATACCAGCAGGCCAACGACAAGCTGTCGCTTTCACATCAGATCATCGCAATGCCCATCGACACTTTAACGAGAAGCAGCGGGACAGCTTCAGTGGTGTCCGAGCGAGTATGAACCAGCCCAGCCTGGTTGGCTGGCATCAACAGAGAACTCGCCACACCAATACCCAGCTGATGAAAGGCTTCGTTCGTTGGCGCGAACAGGGTATAAGATGAAGCGCTTCCTGAAGGCCGCACAGAGCTCACGCGGACACCCGGATGCACAATCGCTGTGACGAAGGTCCTGATAAGAGAGATGCCACACTGCTCGTGGCCACTGCCGCTGCTAGAAGCGACAGTGACGGGCTTTGAACAACCTTGAAAAGATGAACAAAGGCATCCGCAGGTACGACCTTCAGTTCTCCGCTGAGACTGGTTCCAGTTGCCGTAATGTCTTGTCGGGGTACACAAATCCTGAGGCAGAGGGTCTTATAATTTCTGATACTGAATCCACTTTGCAACAAAGGCTAAGTCCCCGGCCAGTTGGGATGATGACCGTATCCATGACGTGCAGCAAACCATTCGTCGCCGGCACGTTTGGACTTATTGCCTGTGCTTCCAGACGGCAGGAACCCCAACCCACCGGAAACGGAAAGACGCACCAGCACCGGCACCGAGGCTCCGACGGAAGAACGTGAGTCGATCTGCCAGGGTCAGGGACTTGTACACAGCTCTTCACCCTTCAAACTTCAATCCTTCTCTAACAACATTCCTCGGATTCTTCTCACGGCTTCGAGCTCAACCCGCAGCTTCCAGCCTTGAGGGGGTCGTTCCTGCAGTCGAGAGTTGTCTAAAAGTCTGCACTTGGCCCGAGGCCCCATGCTCCGAACGCCACTGCTGCAATCGAGAGTCTGTGTCACCAGAAGTGTACCTAGAGATGACAAACGAGCAAAAGCCAGTGCAAAAGCACCATGACACCATAACACCTCGTGCAATGTGACTGGAACAATACCCAACCCTCAATTCACCGGCCTCCACCCAGAGCCTGGAGGTTCACGCCGGCCGGCAGCACCGTTGTAGACTGTCAGCAAGACAGAAGCTACAGAAAGCAGCATCTGAGTGTCCGTGTCTAGGAACTCGGGCGGCCTGCGAACCCGTCACAACATGATGCAGCAGGACCTCCCAGCTGTTGACAGAAATGAAAAAAAAGGGCCAAGGACTCCTGCCTCCTGCAGCTTGTTCTTGTTGGGTGGGAGCAGCAAAGAAGTGGCGATGCCGGGTCCCAGATTGGTAAAGGCTTCGTCAGTTGGAACGAAGACCTCATTAGGACACCACCGATAGATGAAAAAGGCCACTGCAACAGGTGCTCTTTCCAGCGAAGACTCCGTCAGAGGCCCCGAAGCTTTCAGCGCACTCTCCAGTTCTGCCAGCTGTATTGCCTGCAGGCGAACGGAGCTCCGAGCATCAGAGAAAGCCTTGCCAGATCTCCACTGGCCTGATGTAGGATCGATAAATAATCCTCGCTGGCAACGAGCTGAACCTTGGGGCACTGCAGCTACATGACCAGACAAGAGAGCTAAGTGCCACGAATGCAGACAGGGAACGAGGTCCAACGTGGGCGGTGGGAGCACAAAGTTCGGTGGCAGGAACACCTTGGACATTCTCTCACGTGAGCCTCACTGAGACAAACTTGCGCGAAATGCGGGAAGCTCGTGCTGAGCTCAGCGCCCGGTTCATGGTGTGCACCAACCCATTCGAGGCTACCAGATCTTGCCGCGAAATGGGCACGGTGTTCCTCGCACACGCGTCGTTAAGTGCCCAAAGCAGAAGACCAAAAATCTATGCCATTTCCAGGAGCCTCGCCGCCGAAAGACCCTACAACAGGCCCTACAACACTAAATCACCCCTTGCCGGTCAGTAAGCGACCCATCCAGCATGTAGACAAATTTCACTTTCTCCTTTCTTTGACGCTTTCTGACTATCTCTCTGTCTCTGTGTCTCTCTCCATGTTCCTCTCTCTTTGCAAGCCCAGCTCCGGAGAAATGAAGTGGTGAAAGTTCTCTTACGTACTTCACAGAAAACATAAGTTGGTTTCACACCTGTCGTTGCTGCCCAGGTGCACCGTGAAAGGCGTCACTGCGTCCACTGTCAGGAGATCGCCCTGATGTCATGAAGCTGACCCTCAACACATCCGGATTATGCACTCTGGTTTTCATCATACAGCCAGAGCCCCGTGTTCGGTCTGGTCATGCCACAGGAGTAAAGAGGCCAAAAGGGAACACCAACATGTCACCCAATGTCCTCCAGTTGCTTTAGTTTGTGCAGTCGTTCGTGCGACAAGCACATCCAGCCCCGTTATGCTGCTTGACTTTTCCTGACCGCTAGACTTGAAGGTTTGCCGGCCTCGAAGGTTGAAAGCTCCTGGACAGGATGCAAAAGGGCAAAAGGATCGCAGTTCGTTTCCAGTTCGTGTGAGTCTGGTGGGGAATTGGAACCCCGCAGCTCCTGACCCGGCAAGAGATTCTGGCTGAGCGTATTGCCATAGCACACGTGGTACTGCAACACCTGACAAACGAGCGACAGCGCCCAGGGAGATAGCGGCTTGGCGCTTACGCTTGCTTGCCTGGGTCAGAAAGGCCGTGTTCTCCGGCCTGGTCCTTGGATATCACGGCGTGGGGTCAGAGTGAAAAGATCTACAAGCTAGTCGAAGCAGAGTACGAACGTCACGGAATCGGTAGATCTGACACTGGCAAGGGTCAGAGACGCCGTGATGCCTGGGCCCAGCAGCCGGAATGCCACATCGGTGGGCGCAAACATGGTGAAGGGACCAACTCCTTCGAAAAGCACGGAGATTGAAGGATGACCACATGCTGCACTCTGGCGACATTGCCTTCCAGCACGAAGTTCAAATTGGCCAACCTAACTGCAGTATACCTGGGTGGCCGGAACTTTTTCGAATGAAACTCGCTGCAAGGCACTGCAAAGCAATGCAACCTCGAAGCAATGTCGCCAGATCTGGCGAAGCTGCTAATATCCCGGTAATCGTCGTTTGCCCCTGCCACGGAAGCACATAGCAGACATGGCAGCCCAGGTGCCCGTGCCATGCACAGAAGAGTGGCCTGGCCTGAGAATCGCATAGCACCAAGAGGATAAAGAGAAGGAAGCTGCGGAAGAGCACTACCATCGCATGGCGCAAGCCAAAACATCAACGCATCTGGTGTCAAGTACACCAGAAACCCTAGAAACTCTAGTAGCTGAAAACTTGGACTGGCAGAGGCGATGGTTGACGTGATGCGCTGTATGAGGTGAATGCTGGTCTGAAGCTACACTGCTAGACTCTGCTAGACACCTTCATTCCATCACATTCCGGGCCATGAGTCAGAGCCTGGAGCCAAGGGATGCAACACCGATGCGGCGATGCACAAACGAGTGCACGACGGTCACTGGATCACCAAAAACATGGTAGAAACCGACACAGCCGCAGTCAAAGAAGCCTCGCGGTGACGGCATGTGCGGCGGCCTGCAAGCACGGAAAACCGTGCAAAGGAGCGCATGTCGCGAGTAGTCACAACCCAATTCGGGGCCCTCACATTCCAGCAGGTCTGATAGGAGGCCTGGCGCGCAGGAAGGAACCAGCCATGCAGCTAATGTGTACGTCTTCACCACCTCGGCAGAGGCAGAGGTCCCAAAGACTTTGCCATGGAGGAGCCCGCGGGGGGGGTCGCCCCAAGCATCTGACCGACCTTCGGAGCTTTTGTATGGAAAAAAACAGCCCGCACCTGAAAAAGACCCAGGGCACGAGCGTTATGCGCCTTCGGTGCCAACACAGGTGCTTGATGAGGCGCCTTGGGCGCCACTGCAGCGACCTCTGACAAATTTCAATCTTCTTCGCAGACCCTGCTTTGTCACACCAATGCGTGCCTTCGTGGCTGGCAGCGGGTTCGGTGGTGGCCGACTACCCTTGTTCATACCTTGAGCACTCCATGTCAGCCATGAGCGAAGAGTAGACAAATGATGCCAAACGATGTGTTTCACTGAAGCCACGACTGGCTGCCAGCGGCCCAGACATTGATAACAAAACCTGCCGAGGCCGGAAACACAACAACCGCTCTCCCGAGCAAGGTTTCTGGGCCTGCAGCCACACTGCAAGGTATACTGGGCCGTATGTAAAACTGACGCGAATGCTGTTCGTTGCTTGGTGTGGTCTCTTGCTTTCCTTGCTGCCCTGTGTCCCTTCTGGAGCATGTGAAGTGGCCTTGGCCGCCACAATCCACCTACCACGTCCTTGCTCTACTTCAAATTCTTGTATCTTTGCCGAACAGAACTTATCGGGCAAGAACACCGACACGGTACTCGTTCATGTTAAGATCACGATATGCTGCCCATGTGCTCCCTTCACACATCTGTTGAGCCACGCACGGATCCCTTAACAGTCATGCTCCGGACGTTGCCGTCGCCGGACACGCAACAAGCACCACAATCGTGACGGCATTGGCAATCCCGGTCACAACACGTTGCAGCAAGTCCTGGGAAAGCCAGCACGATTGTCTGTTGAGTCTGTTGCACCAATGTTCGTGCATGCACATGCTGCACCCAAGACACGCACGGTTCGCATCGCTGGCAGATCAGACACAAATACAACTGTTGGATGGTAACGAAGAGTATAGATGGCATCGCATACACTTTGGCGACTTGATACTGTGGTCGCGCCTGTGTAAATTGCAAGCCGAACCAGCCGAAGGCTCCTTTTCTGGTCGAGACCACTCATGTGGAAGTACACAAGTCTGGTGAGAAAGTGCCCTCTGTCCCAGACATGGTGTTTGATCAGTTTGATTGAGGCAAGTCCGCGTGACGTGGTTGTAATCATCACGAATGGGCTATTCAGAGGGAAATAACCCTGATCTTGAGCGGATATGTACGCTCGAATCTACAGTTAATGATGAATAACGTGCAATGATTCCCTGTCATGTGCAGGGTGTGCACCGACACACTCGAAACTCGAAACACCGCGATGCTGAAACAGCTTCACTGCAGCAGCTTTAATTGAATGCCCTTGGCGCGTTTTAGCCGGCGGGCGACCGCCCATCCTAGTCTGGGCCGACACTGAGGCTACTCACTTGATATCAGTCGGATTCTCAGGCTCAGAAGGCTGGACACTCCGCATTTAAACAATTTTTAAGTCTTGAATCTTGGAGCCATGCTCGCACGCCACTCAGTCACTCAGGCATGCAAGCCGCTACAGGCAAGCCAGCAAGATGGCTTGCCACCTGGTCACTCTGGCGAGGTCTGTTGCGCTGAGCTTGAGGAGGCGCCTTCAACAAGTCTGATTCAGCATGATCAGTATGATGCCCATCCTGATCTATGCACGTCTGCTACAAGTTCGAGAGGGGCGCGCCTTCTCTAGTGCATGTTCCTAAACCTTAGGCGGATCTGCACCATCTTGCCTGGGACCCCTCGTGCTTGCAAAGAAGCTTGCGCAAGCAGCAAGGCATCGCTTGCAACGTTGTCCTGTGAAGGATCAGGTTGACGCATGACGTGACGCAAAACCCTTCGAAGACATAAAGCAGGCCTGCAGTGCAGCATCCCTATAGCTGCATGCCGTATGTCTGCTCTTCATGAATCACACGTCCGAGTAAAAACTACACCCTGGCCGGCGCTTCTTATGCATCCTCACACGAGTCTGGGTTTAGGGTTGCAGCGAGTTTCAGTAGCGGCAAGAGTTTTCCTTAACGAAATAATTGTGTTCTGTTCATGGTGGAGGCAGCCGTAGTTCTGAACCATGATCAATAGTAGCAGTTGCCGTAGTCGTCTTGATCCTTTCTGGCAATTTGGAACTTTGCCAGGGCGTGGCCGCCGCGGATTTCGACTAGCATCTGGGCCGAAGAGCGAGAGGACAGGCTAGGTTGGGGGTTGATGCATGGTTTTACCTAGGGTGACGTGCACGGCAGTGTGTGGCAGCCGCAGCCGGGTTGTAGTGGAAGAAGCAGACGAAGCAGTATCAGTAGGTGGTGGTGGGGGCAGTAGTGAAGGTAGTAGCGGTCGTGGCACTAGCAGCAGCAGCAGCTGCTGTAGCTGCTGTAGCGAGGCCCTCGGAACCGCTTACCATGAAGAAATCGAGAACCAGGCTCGGCCTGGTTGTTCTTCAGCCCTACCAGGTCGACTAAAGCGGCTTCAAGCTTCGCCTCTGCAGCCTGGGATGCATCGGCAGTTCAGCGAAGGCACCAGTGGCCAGTGCAGACAGCTCCAACCTCGGCCTCTTCGATCCGCTGCTCCATCGGTAAAGCTTCCAAGGGCCTTAGCACTCGGAAAGCGAGGCGAAACTTTCGACTTCAAGCAATTTTAGCAGCTTCTGCAGCTGAGCCAACGCACCCCTTGGCAGACTGAAGACAACTAGTGCCAAGACGGAAGTGTCCCAGGCCTGGAAAACCGAATCAAGCTGTCTGTCTGCACCCTCGAGCAAGCAAGCGCCTCCTGGCAGCAAGCCATGCTGCCCCGGAGCGTTCAATAGCTCGCCCCGCGGTCTTTCCTGGCAGGATCACGCTTCGGCCCGCACTAACACGGCGACGGTGGCCTGCAAAGATGGGGTCAGTTCCTCGCTTCTGCTCTCTAGAGCTGAAGCTATGGCTGACGTTGCCTTGAGACTGCGACGAATGTCTTCAGATGCGATGCGATGTCTAAGCCGACTGCACTTGCCAACGGTGTAGTGGAGGCCGTGCTGCAGTACCCGACCTCGGGCATGAAGCTGACCAGCTTATGACACGAGCTCAAAGTGTCGCAAGTTTCCAGCAGAAGGCATCCGGGTGTTCCACACGGCGTTGCTACCCTGTCACACAAGGGTTCTGTACACTTTGAACATCAACGAACCATCTTTGGACGGCCTTTCCCCCCGCCGCGATCATTTCCTCGCCCTCATCTGCCCTTCTTTCCATGGGCTGTGTGGTGGACCTTTCCAAGAAAGGGCAAAGAAATTCATGATCAGCAGTGCACGTTGTCCCGTGGTACTTAAATGTGCCGAGCATAGGACGACTGAGACCCTGCGCAATCTCCCTCCTCCACGCCCTCCTGTCGCTTTTCTACGCACAACGACTCGGCACGACTCGCAGAAGATGCGGCCGCCTCCAGACTCAGCTCGCCCTGGCACGCAAGGCGCCCATATGTCCACAGCTAGCACCAAGGGTTTAAAGCGTGACTGAGGTGCCAAGGCATTCTCAAGAGCCGTCTGGAGCTTCAAGAGCGCCATGTCGCAAGCGCACCTCCCAAAACTCTGTGATGACAGGCTTGAAGCACTGTGTGCAGGAGGCATTCGATCAAAAATAGCCCCACCTGTTTGCACGCAGGCACGCTCAAGAAACTATCAGTTCCACTTGGCCTCGGACCACCACAGACGCAGGGTTTCCAAAAAATTCGGTATCTTGCTCTTTGGACAAGGCTCGGCTCTTTCGTTTAGCCTACGTACTCGTGCAAAATTTGATATTCCACGCGCCTGTTGCCCATGCCTGGTACAGGTGGTCGGACCCAAGCCGGAGCGTGCTGCAACCATGAACAAGGTTTTGGACCCCATTATTGGGAAGGAGCGTGCGTTTCCGTCCCGTCGCCGAAGATGGCTCTAGCTTGTTGAGCTCCCTACCCACATGCGCGACCCGGCGAGACAGGAAAGGCTCCGACTGCGGTGCAATCCCCGCCGGACTGAAAGGGAAATCGAAATCCAAATCCGATCCATCAACGACTGCAAATGGCTAGTATCAGCCCCAAATCTTCGTGATTCATTCGGGAAAGCTGCATGCATCGCCGAAGCCACGCGCAGGCTATGCCAACTAATTGAATCCAGCTTGAGCTACATGGCCCCAGTCCAGGAGGTGAGCTTTTGCACAACGGGTGCATTATGAAGCCCGCCAAAAAGCTTGCGACGGCAGCGATAGTTCCCTTTTTCATTACAACTCGGTCGCATTGTCTGAGGCACTCCCTTCCTGCGTGCCTTCCTTGATGTGGGCGGTGAAACAGTGAAACAATTGGGATTGCTTCCCGCAGAGCTTGTTTCATGTTGCCAGTGGCACTTCATAATTCGTGATGATGAAACTCCAAACTCAAAGCTTGCAGAATGTGCGACATTTCTGCTCTTGGGAAGTAGGTCTTAGCACACGCTGCCCTAGTAATCGGGGCGCATGTCCGGAAGGGCCTTGGGCAGCCAAATTCGAGTCGAATCTGCAAAATCACAACCTTTCACTACAGTCCTACTCAATTGCCGAGTCTTCGGCCGAACGCTCGTACTCGGGAGTGCCAAACCACAAGTTGTACCTGGCCGTCACAAGCGGAAGCTTTGACGGCGTACTACGTTGAACAACGACAACTTCCGCCCGCAACTGTGCCAGGACACTTGTTGCAGTCCACGGACGACACCCCAGACACCTCCTGATAGCAACACGCCAGAAGCGTTGATGTCCGTCATGAGTTCCGTCATGTAGTCTCTACTGCAGCACCGGCAACGTCCTTCTCCCATATGGAGAGCTGCTCGAAAAATCCAAGATTCGGAGTCACCTGCAGCTCCCGTTGTGCTTGGTTCATGTGCTGAGCTAAGTTGTTGTTAAGTGTAGTCAAACGAAGTCGAAAGCAGGTTAAAGCTAGCAATGACCACTTCCATTTTCTGTCCATGCACCACCCCCTAGCACCCAAACTATAACAACCTATACCTCAACTCCCACCTCACCAAAAGACCCAATCCAAATCTTCAACCCAACACCCCCAAACCATAACAATTTATACCTCAACTCCCATCTCACCCAAAATCCCCAACCGAATACCCACATGATTAAAACCATACTATGGAACCACCCCGAACCCCATAGAAAACCTCAACCTCAACTCCACAACACCCACCGCCCGATAGGAAACCCATAACCCAACCTTAAACCCCTAACCCACGAAATGGAAATGGTCAAGGCTGCGCCTTAATGGAGAGCTTCGCTCTCCATCATCTCAAACAAAATAACGAGAATAGGGTTTAGGTTTGGGGTTAAGGGTTGCTCGATGGTCCCTACGTAATGTTCTCATGATTTGATTAAGGAATTCAAATCATTAGAGTATTGTTTCGGTCTCACCATGCCTAAAGACTAGACATATTAATATGGTAAGATGGAAAAGAGAGAATGCAACTCGTGGCAATGCAACCAAGGATGTGGAAGAGTTTGACGGATTTAATTTAAGACTTGCAACAGATGCAGGGAAGCGAAGCGAAAATGCTACGGCAACAATAAGAATGAATACAACCAAGCAAGAAGGGAGGAGAGAGCAAAGGGAGTAAGTTTTGCGAAGAATGCAATCATAGAATAAAGAACGAAAACTGGCATGCCCATCTATGCATTACATCCGAATTCAGAACTGAATGTGCCAATGAAGGGTTACATAAAACAATTAGGAGGTTTAAGCAAACAGGGCAAACTAGACGACAAAATGCAATCATATACTAAGGAAGAATGCGAGAAACAGAAAAAGGTAATACGCAAACGCTTAAACGAACAATTTCCTAATAAATTTGTTGATGAAGGGGAAGATCAGAACCGGAGAAACCCAAACCCGATATTGATAAAGTATTCAATCACGTTCAGCAGCTGCTTATGAATGATGAGTTAGTAGAAGAATACTTCATCTTATTTGGTAAGCATAAGGACAGGATAATGATAGAAATACCAGTTAATAGNNATAGTGCATAAGTATAATGTAGTTATAATCCTTATAATTGATTATAAGTGTATTGTTGTTGCAACCTTTGCGCCAAACCTAAACCCTATTATCGTTATTTTGTCCGAAAAGATAGAGAGCGAAGCTCTCCGTTTTGGCGTAGCCTTGACCATTTCCATTTTCAAAGGTGAGGGTATTCAGGTTAGGAGTTATGGGGTTTCTATGGGGGTATTGGTATATGAGTTTGAGTATGGTGTTTTTCATGGGGTTCGGGATGTTTCTTCTAATAGTCTTCTTCAGGTGGGTATTATATGGTTTTTGTTGGTGGGTTGGGGTTGAGGTATAGGTTGTTATGGCTTGGGTGCTGGGGGGGTGCATGGTTTGAGAATGGAAATGGTCATTGCTAGCTGCTAGCTGCTAACTGGTGATCACAAGCCAGCCGAGCTTGTCTCACGTGGCATGAAACGCTGCAAACGAGCATGATTTTCGCAGCTCGCTATATCTCATCCCACGAGCAAAATTGTTGTCCTGACTGTGTCGACTACATAGCCCCATCGCCTCACGGAAACAAAAGAGTTCCCTCCGTTTGAGTCAAGCTGCAATGCATCTCCTTGAACGGAGTAGCACAAAAGCATCGGCCAACGTCATTCGCTGGCAGGCCACCAAATAGGCCTCGGGCTTGAGCTCTACTATGAACTGACTCTACATTTTAAGTGAAGAAAAGTCTTACAACGCATCCCAAACGCAACGCGTTCCAACGCTCTCTGAGGCCAATGTCCCTAGCACTTGTGCCCTGCTGCAGCTCAGCCCCGCTCCAAGACCACAGATGCAGAGCGGGACACCCCCGCCCGGCAATGCACGAGCACCGGCCTTGGAGGGCACTGGCATGGCATGGCGGAGGGGTCCCAATGCAGCGGATTTCGAGGACGCCGCTGCTCTCGCACGATGAAAGAATGAATAAAATCAGTGGCCTCATGCTGGCAGACTCATGAGCTGGTCCCTCCCGATAGCCATACTGCCCGGCCTCCTTCAAGAAGTAGTCCAGAGGCTCCCTCGACATGTCTTCAACATCCACTCCTGGACACAAAGACAATGCTTGCCGAACTTGCGCATCAACCTTTGAGGTGATTGAGGCAGCTAAGGCCAGTGCTGTAGTAAGAAACGCCAGGAATGAACTGCGCATCCGGGAACTCTACCCTTAGTGCGACACGCATCCCACTTTCTGTTTTGCGACAGCGCAGGTGCAAGCTGCCCGCGTTCTGCAACAGCAGCAGATCGCGCCCAATCCCTGTCTCTGGATGCCTCGGCGCAAGCAAAACAAACTCAAAAGCCACCGAAGCCGCGCCGCGAGAGGGCTGGCATTTAGACCAGGTGTCGAACCGTCCACGTCGGTTGCCGCTGCCATGCCACCCAGGTACAGGTATGGCAAAATCTGATCCTGCGAGAAGACTGCTTGTGCTGAAGTTGCTACTACAACAACCGCAACCTTGCAGCATGTAAGCTTCGCACGCAATTGGGCAATGTGATCACTTTTTCTCCCTTCTTCTTCTTTTTCTTTTTAGGCTTCACCTGGAATTGGTGTGCGCAACTTTGACTTGGCTTGCGCATGACAAGTGGAAACCCCAAAGGCCTCCTTCTCGCCTTGCTCTTGAGCAGCATCCTTGCCCTCCTGAGCATCCGCCGCAACCACCGCATCCGCAACCGGAACTGCAGCATCCGCTCCATCTGCATCTTCCTCTTCCTCCTCGTCGTCGTCCTCCTCGTCCTCTTCCTCCTCTGCCTCATCCTTCTTCTCCTCCACACCTTCCTCCTTGTCTGCCGTCACTTCGGCTATCGCCTCCTCGGCTGCTGCTGCGGCTGCAGCGGCTGCTCTCCGAGTAGGAGAAGTCTGGCTGTGCAGGCTAATTTGCCGCACTAGGCCAGTATCCTGTCAACAACTGCAAGAATCCATAAGAATCAAACACGCAAAGACGGCGGCACCGACGTTGCTCCTGCTATGCACGCAAGGCAGAAGCACGCCAATACATTGCCTGCCTCATCCAAAGGAAAATCGTCGTCTTCAGGCAGGACAATGACGATTTCTGCCTGACAAGGTGAGGAAGGATAATGTGCTGCAACTTG